TCGTCTCCCTAGGCATTTTCTGTGGGGCTTACTTCTCTCATGGAGCCCCACATGAGAAAAAAGTATACAGATTAGAAGTTGTTGTGAAAGGAACTTAAGACAAAAAAAGAATCAATATCTTTTTTTAAAATCAAGTCTTTTAAAAACAGCACTAACAATTCCATTTTAGGCTAAAATTAATACATCCTATATTTATTAAGACATGGGAGTACTATTCCCAAAGCATTCTAAAACCTTACAATAAAATCAGGGAACTCCTACTATTAAAAGAATAAAACTCACTGGGAGGGGAGGTGGAGGAAAAAAAAAATCAAGATCCACTGTCAAAGAAAATGGTGAGCCAAACAAACTTTGACCCAATCCAAACAAGTCTATGCTGGGCTCCATTATCCAAAACCTCAAGGTGATCTCAACCAGACATCAAATGGGCACCATCTCCAAGGGAACCAATTCACATACCCACTTGGGTTGCAGTCTACTAGCATACATATTTTTAAATGTTTCTGTTTCTTATGACAGACCTGTTTTCACACGTTTGGTAAATGAAGATGTTTGGGAGGAATTCCCATGTACACATTAATATTTCAGTATCATTCAATACCATCTGATAATTCTATATAAAAGGCTTTCAACTTCCAAAATGCTTTCACATTCATTCTTTCATTTGATAAGTTACACTAAGCTGTATATATAAACTAAATACATTTTAAAAGGTTAAGCCGTTATTTAAAAATACAACCTGCTGGGTGGGGGCACACACCTTTAATCCCAGTCCTTGGGAGGCAGAGGCAGGAGGATCTGAATTCCAGGCCTGCCTGGTCTACAGAGCGAGTGCCAGGACCACCCAGAGAAACCCTGTCTTGGGGGGAAAGTCCTTGGACTAGGGTGGGTTCTTACCTCAATAGTAGAACACATAACTAGCAAGGGCAAAAGTCTTGGGTTTGACTTCAGAACTACAAAAAATTTTAACACCAAATATTAAAAAATGTACTTGCTTACATTTTTAGGGTTATAACAAGTATGTTTCCTAAACATCCAGTACCCTGGAAGAGAGGAGAAATATGCTCAAGATCACTGCAGAAACAAAAACGCAAAACTAAAGGGAGTGGAAGGGTTAATGCTTTTTTCAGGGAGAAGTGAACTGAAGCTCAACCCAGGGCTAATACAAGCTAAGCACTTTCTCTACCAACCAGGAGAAAATACTTTTAACTTGTTTATCTTTAGGACATCTGTCTGCATCACAGATAACCTAGAAACCAGTACTCCCTTAGCTGCATAAAGAAAAACTACACTATCGTACAAGAGTAAACCAGTCTGACTTTGAAATCTTAGTTGTAATAACTAACTTTAATGGCATATACCACACCCTTTTTTAAAAGAATTTTTATGTGTCGTGTGTCTGAGTGTTTGTTCGAGTATATTTATGTGCCTGTTGCTTTCAAAGGTCAGAAGAGGGCTTTAGATCCCCTGGGACTGGAATTACATATGGCTGTAAGCTGCCATGTGGGTGCTGGAACCAAAGTTGTGTCCTCAGCAAGAGCCATCAGTGTTCTCTCTCCAGTCCCGCACACACCACTTTTAACTAGTGATTCAGAGATGGTCAGTCCAGTGTTAGGTGAAGAATCACCTACAGTTCTGTTACCAGCTAACTAAAAATGACCTCTTCCTAGGTGCTTGAAAATAATCTTCAGGTTTACCTGCCAATACGAACTTGCCTTAGCCTTGTTCTAAAAGTAGAAACTCAGTGGGTCTGATTCTTATCTTTCTGAATACCGACAGAAAGTGAAAAAGAATTAGGAAAACAGTATTTCTGCATATTAGTTGTACATTCTAAAACACACACACACACAAAAAAACTTCTAAAATAAAAAGCACACCAAAAACCTAACATCAGAGTCTGGAAATACCCATTCTACAGCACCACCCAAGCATATCTAAAAGTATACGCACTTTTTTCTTTCGAGACAAGGTCTCATGTAGCCCTCAATCTCCCTATATAGCCAAGGATGCCCCTCCTACTTCCTCTTCCCAAACACAGGAACGCAGGTACACCCCCCCAGGCTTATACAATGCTGGGTATCAAACCCAGGGCTTTGTGCGGGTTAGGCAAGCTCTCTACCAACTGAACTATGTGCCCAGACCCATCAAGCAATTTTCTGATAGCCTAAGAAAGGGCCCAAAATATTTTAGTTTCTACAAATAAACGAAGTTCTCTAAGAACACTTAACCTCACCCCACTTATTCCTAGAATCTAAATACACCTACCCATGCAAACTAAATGTTAGTTATGCAAATAAGCAGCTTGTTGGGCTTTACTAATATAATTTCTGTTCCTTAAAATACGTCACTACGAAGTCCGGCGTAGGTAGCTCATGCCTTTAATTCCAGCACCTGTGAGGCAGAGGCAGGTGGATCTCTGAGTTTGAGGCTACAGAGTGAGTGCCAGGACAGGCTCCAAAGCAATACAGAGAAACCCTGTCTCGAAACACCAAAAAAAAAAGTCACTACATTTCTAACAAGTGCCTATTTTAACCAGTATTTTGACTACGTAAACCCTATCAAATTACACTGGTCACAGTAAATATAATTTCCTTCACATAACAGGTTAAACAAAAAACTGATTTGATTTTTTTTTTGAAACAGGGGTTTTTTTGTGTGTGTGTAGCTTTGTAGACCAGGCTGGCCTCTAACTCACAGAGATGTGCCTGCCTCTGCCTCCTGAGTGCTGGGATCAAAGGTGTGCACCACCACCACTGCCCGGCCTGATTTGATTTTTTTTTTAAATGGAGTTTCCTCATCAATTTGGTTTGTCTGACAACCAACAACTAAATCCCCTGGCTGTCAGAATACTTTCAGTTTTATGCAGTAAAAACTTGAAGAGCCTGTGCTTTTAGCTCTAATACTCTCCCTTCAAATGCAACTTCGGCTGCTTTAGGGAAATCTACCTTGAACTCATTCTACAGGTACCAGGGACACACCAGGCACATGGACAGGAGGAAACAGTCTAAGTCATTTCCCTCAAAGATCCTTAAAAAACCACCTCTCCATGTTTAAAGGAGAAAAATTTTAAATATGCAGTTAGCAGCATTTTAAAAACTGCTTAAGCGTATGCTAAATACAAACACAATTTTTTTCTAAAAGGTTTGATGAAATTTTCTTAAATTCCCCTAACTTCCTTCAATTCTTATAAAACTGGAAACATGGCACAAAAAACATATTTGCATTACTGTATCCCACATGAAGGACAGATTCAACTGTTTCAGTAAATTTATCTTACAAAACAGACTCAGCCGTGTTTCCCAGATGGGTTCTCACCCAAGCACAGAACAGGCGATTCTAAGAATGCCTGTCAACAGCGACAACCAGAGCAAGGGTCCCAGATACAATGCAGCAAGGGTCAGACATGCAGGGTAGTGGCCCTAATTAGCGGAGGCTGGACAGAAGCATCAAAAGGAGCGTCCTGCATTTTCAAATTCAGGTCTCAAGCAGGAACTCCAACACCACACAAGGAGAGAGCTACAGGCAAGTTTCACACTTTGAAGTGATGGCATCAAGTCAATCCTGCTTAAACCAGTTAACACTGCACTGAAGAGTAAAACTTATCTAGTGGCCACCAGCGAGCGTTTCAGTGATAACTTCTGGGAAAGCAGCAAGCGACCCTAAGGAAAAGTCTGAACTGAATTCTCTCCATGCTACAAGCGACCCTAAGGAAAAGTCTGAACTGAATTCTCTCCATGCTACAAGCGACCCTAAGGAAAAGTCTGAACTGAATTCTCTCCATGCTGAGCTTCTGCAGCAAACCATTGCCTTAGAGGACACTGATGTTTCCTCAAAGGCTGAAGCACAGAGCAGCCAATATTAAGTTATAATTTAAGCCTACCTAACTCTACTGCCAACAACCTTGAGTTACTTAATAAACTTTCTTCCCTTAAACAAAAAGAAAGTGGTTATTTTAAAGGGGAAACAAAAACTAAACAGTGGAAAACTTAAAGTTATTAAAATGTGGCCAATCTTTTGTCAAGAATTAAATAAATTATACGGTAAAAACAGCTCCAGACTAACGTTCAACACATTTTTAACTATGCTAAGTATATTACATACTAATTTTAAAGTAGAAAAGTTTGTAAAATAACCACATCAAGGTTTAACACTTCAAACCTGTCTTTCATCCAGGCATTCAAATTTTAATTGGTTATCTTAGTCTACCAGATAATGCTGTGGAAAGAGTAATGTTAAGATCTCTTTTGCTGATAGCTCGTTATAGTAATATTTCGTTCATCTGAAATAGTCTTTATTCTGCTTCTGTCACAATTTTCAAAACCATCCTGTTCTCTTGTATTAAAACCAAAATTCTGAGCCAGGTGATGGTGGCACACGCCTTAGATCCAGCACTTGGGAGACAGAGGCAGGCAGATCTCTGTAAGTTTGAAGCCAATCTGGTCTATGGAGTGAGTTCCAGGACAGCCAGGACTAAAGAGAAATTCTGTCTTCAAATATCAAAACCCAAAATCCTGGTTACTATTATGAATTATTCAGGTAGGTAAGTGTCTCAATCTAAGTACAGCTCAAGCCTCTATCTCCAAACATCAAAAACTACTGGTGTAGCTCTGAAATGCAGTTGTGAGGCACCACCAAACCAGTTTTAGCTAACTGTATCATTTGCAAATGGAGATAACACAACACCACAGTGCAAACTATCTTGAGTTCTAGGCAACAGATTTAGTCAAGAAGCAGGATGTGTGAAAGATTTGCCAAGAGAAGCCGCATGCCTCCAAGTCTAGACTCAGAGGCTCATTCTCTTACCTGTAAAATGGGAAAGATCCTACTTCTCTCAGGTGGGAATAGACAGGAAAAAAACATTATGGGAAAAATTCGTAATCATGACACTGATGTTTTTTGTTATTACATGAGTAAGCTGAAGCATAAGCTTTATAATACAAAGCTTATAGACACAGAATTAAGAAACCATTCAAAATCACTACTTAATAAAGCCAACTTGCCTTTGACTGGGTTCTCTTTCCATTTCTTGTGCTAAATTTCTCTTTCATTTCTTCCAAAATTATCTTCAGTTTCTTTTCTTCAGGTGTCCCTAGGTATTTTTGGTTCACATGAAGATAACAGTGCCACTTGGCTGATTCAAAGCCCCAGTGGCAAGTTCTCTTGTCAGGTGATCGGTGAGAATGCATGACAAATGTCTGGGGTGCAAACATTCCACAGCACTCCAGACACTGGATACAGGGAGCATCAGGCTGGACATAAAACTGAGGTGCAAAGAGACCCTGACATTTGCCCAAGCACTCATGTTCTACTTCAAAGGCACTGCCAGTTTCCTTTAACTGGGCCAAAGAGTTCTTAGCAGGAAGTATGCTACCATTTTGAGGAAAAGTCCGCGGGCGCAGCAGAGCATTACAGAGTCTTTGCGCGTCAGTCAAAGTGATCAGCCCACAGGATGGGGCATTGAACGGAAGTATTCCTAGGACCTTTAAGATATGAAGCTGGTCTGAAGTACACCTTGAACAATATATGTATAGCTCATCACACACTGTGTTTATTTGCTGGAGTGAAAATTCTCGGAGAACAGAATTTAAGACTTGGGGCAAACAGAGTCTCTTTTCTCCTCCAACTTGAAAACAAGAAATAGACTCCCCTTCCAGAACAGTCTGCGTGAGCTCTGTGGAGCTATCAGAAGGAATGAGAAGAGGGCCAGGAAGAACCTGAGGAGAGGGAAGAGGCAGGAATACAGTCGGCGACATGCTTTCTTGGGAGTATCGGGCGGAAAACGCTGCTGGCCCACCCAAAGAGCTCTGACTACTTAAATGGAATTGTGCCAGTGTGTGTTTCAGGCTGGGGTTTAGGTTTAAAGTTTCGGGGATGGAAGTACAGTTTCGCTTAGCATGTTCCCCATCTGTCTCCACTGATGCTTCTCCATAGTCATCCAAGTGTTCCTTCTTCACCTTGGTCAACGCTTTTCCATTGGCATGCACGTCTGTCATCATTTTCTTCACGGGAGGGCTGCCATCATCCTCCATTCCGTTCAGTTTTTTATTTGAACCCTGAACTAAGGAAAAATTAGACTGCAGGTTTTCCATGGCTACACTGGTGCTTTAAATAATTAAGTCTGCAATTGGCATGTTGTACCCAGTTGCTAACTTGAAGAGAAATGGGTAATATATACAAATACTTAGAACTCCCTTAGAAAATTCTTAGTTTGCAAAGATGAAATTTCTTAATAGATTTGTGCAACTTTTTTTAGTTATATCTTAGGATGTAACCGAAAATACTACAAAACTTCTCATTTTCCTTCCGATAATAAAGAATATAATCATAAGCAGACTTCTGAGGAAAATCTTGTTTTCTTGAGTTCTTCGGATTGTATTCTTTTTTTTAAAAAAGGCTAATTTCTCAATTCAAGATGCACAAGGTTTGCTGTAATGGTTGAGTTTGGTGGTTTTGTCTTTTAAGCAAAGCACTGGAAAGTGTATGCCATTACTGTATCCTAAAACCACACCCAAACATGAGTTACAATGATGCAATGGATTTAATTTTTGCCAAGGAAACCAAGGGGGGGAGTCTCTTCACTGAAAATGGTGGTCTGCTGCTGTGTGTCCGCACACTGAAGACTTGCCTAAACTTCCAACTCCACACCAGTAAGAGCCTGACTCCACCTGAACTTCTATAGTTAAAAATATATATACACTAAAACAACTGCCCAGTTATCTTCAAGGATTACAGTTCATTCTTCTTTCAATTGACCTGGAAGAGAAAGGGTGGAAGAGTTACAACTGAATTTGTTCCAGAGGCCAAAGGGCCACTTTCAAACCAGTTTCTTAATCTTAAACTCAGTTCATTTTACCAAGGGTGACACTAGTGGTTTCCTTCAATCAAGCACGAGTTACCTAAAAGAAACTTCATTTAAATAGGAAACAGCCCAGAAGGTGGACAGCAGGAACATTAAATAATAGCCCTCCGAATGAGGAAGAGTACAAATTTAAAATACAAATAAATACAACTCAGAACCCGAGGCTTTCTCAACTATGCCATTTTAATTAAAAAAATTATCTTTTATCTGATTAAAAAGATTGTAGTTTCAGCTCTCCAAAAGAGCCAGATACATGTTAATATACCTACCATATGTAACTAAGTTAGTCTCAAGTGGATTAATTCACCTAGTCATATAAACTATCTCTGAAATTAAGGGGAAAAATTAAACTTTCCCTTTAAAAGGTAAGCAAATTTGCTTAATGGAAGCCAAAAGCCTTAAGACTCCATGCCTGAAAATCTCCATCCTTGAGCAAGACTAATCCGGGACAAAAAAGCACAAGGCAGACAGACCTCACAAAGAATGCAAATGGAGGCAGAGTAGGGGAAAAAAAGAATCTTTTTCCCCTCCCCTCCGGGGAGAATACCCAGCGAAAGCCGATAAATAAAAACCTTTGCTTTCTAAACTCCCCGCGATTTACGTTAACACAAACCCAAAGGATGACCGCCGAAAGCCATCTAGCCGCCGTACTGTGACTTTCGCCACTCCAGGGACACCTCAGCCAAGGCGAGCCAAGGAAAAGGGCAGGAGGCATGACCTAGCCCAGGGGCGCCCCACAGCCCTGCGCCCACGCAGACACCCACCCATCTTCAACCGAAGGAGGCAGGACAGGAAAGCAGGGGACTCCGGACGTCTGGCGAGGTGCGAGGGGGCAGAAGGAAGTAGAGGGAGGAGTCCTCCCAACCCCCACCCGAGACTGGGATCACCCCAAGTGCCCTCCCCACATCGCCCCGCTGCGGGGGCCGCCGACGGAAATCCCCACGCAGCCGGTCCGCGGGAAGTTCTCCGGGGTTACCTCGGCGCCCCGGGGCTGTGCCATCCCCCTTCACCTATCCTGAGCCGTGGCACCCAGCGGGGTGCGGGCAGGCTGGGCGCCAAGCCCGGAAGCCCGCAAGCCCGCGTCGCCGGCCGCTCAGAGCTGGGGCCAGCCCGGGGCATCCCCGCCGAGCCCAGACGGCCGGGGGATGGCGGCGATGACCGGCGTCCAGGTCTCCCGGGTCCCGGCCGCTCGGGTCAAGTGCAGCGCCATCCCCTGCCAGCCGACCCGTCCCAGGACCCGCGAGGCCTGTACACCCGTGGGACCCCGCCGCGCGCCCTGTGCCCGCGACCCCGCCCGGGACCCCACGCATCCCGGACGCCCCACTCCGGCCCTCCGCACCCCGGGGAGCTCCACGGGGTCCGTGGCCTCCCCATCACCCCCGCCGCCGCCTCAGCGTCCCCAGAGGCCGCACGCCCCTCGCGTCCCCTCGGGACCTGCGGCCGCACCTGTGTCCGCCGTCGCCGTCGCCGCCGCTCGCCCGCCGCCTTCGCTGTGCCTTCGCTGTGCCTTCGCTGTGCCGGCGCCGCTCCGAACCCCACACACATCGCTACACACAGCCTCTGACGTCACCCGGCCCTCGGCCCGCCCACGTCACTGCGGAGACACGGCTTCCCGCAGACGCCGCCGCCGTCTCCGGCCGCCCGGGGGACAGCGAGGGCGGCGGGCGGGGGAAGGGAGGGAACGAAGCCAGCGGCGCCGCGCGGCCCCGCGCCAGCCAGTCCCTCGGGCGCGCGCGCCGTCTGGCCTATTGTGGCTCCTCGCGGGCCGCGCGCCGCAGGCTGCGCGCTCGCGTCCCTCCGGCCCCCACCGGGGGCGCGCGCCCGGCGCCTCAGCCGCGCACGCGCGTGCGCCTGTCTCACCCCCCCAACCCCCACCCCGCCCCCTCCACCGCGCGTGCCCCGCGCTGCTGGCCCGGCGCGCCGTCTGGGCGGCTGGCGCACGGCGCTGTCTGCGGTGCCCGGCGCAGACAGGATGTTCCCTCGGCCCCACCCCCGCCGCCCTCCTTCCTTCCTCGAGTCGCCCAGCCGGCTGTCTGGGGCCGCCCCCGCCACGCCCGCTGCCGTGTGGAGACCGGCCAGACCCGGGGGCGCCCCGGCCGCTGGGCCGCCGCGCGGCGGGGGAGGCGGGGCGGGGCGGGGGAGGGGCAGGGCGCGGCGGGCTGCACTGTGCGCGACCCCGGCAGCTGGCCGCGCCCGAGGTCAGGCTCGGCCACCCACCCCCTTCCCCCGCGGCCGCAGCTGGCCGCCCGGCCCCGCCCCGGAGGTGGCCCCCGGGCGGCTCCCCGCCGCGACCCCTGGGGTGAGCCCGCCGCGCAGACGCCCCCGCCCGGAGGCGGCGACCCCCGCGCCGCCCTCTCCCTCCCCCGCCCCCGGCCGGCGCGCAGACGTCGCGGGGCCCCTCGCCCGCCCCCGTGGGGCCTCCCGCCGCCGCCCTGCCAGCTGCCGGCGCTGAGCCCCGCCTGGCCGCGCTGGGGTGGCCTCGCCCGGCCGCCATCGTCAGGGAGGCCGCCGCTCCCACCCCGCCGGGACAGACCTGGCTGCCCCAGCTGCTCTCGCCCCCCCAGAAGTGACCCGTTCTAATTCACTGAGCGCTTTCGTTTGGGGTTTTCAGGTTTTTTCTTTTCTTTTTTTTTTTTTCCAGAGACGGGAGGAGGAGGATAACCACTTCAGAGCTGTCGGCTGCCACCTCGGGCGGGCGGCAGCGGGTGGGTGGGGGGAGTTCCTAGCCAACGTACCCAGGAGAGTCAGTTCGAAGATTCAACTCTGTGGGGCTGGTCCGTCACATTTCGAAACACCAAGAAATCCCCTTTTCTCCACCCCACCGCAGGATCAGGAACTGAAATAGCGCAGCGAGTAACACTGCGCAGACTTAGGGAACTTAAGCTCCGGCGGCCGCGCTCCCCCCTCCCCCCCTTTTTTTTCTTTTCGCCTGGTTACTTATTTTACCGCTTCGGGGTTACTCATGTTTGGGTCCACATTTGCAGCTGTCCGATTGGGAGTACGTTTGTGCTCGAAGATTTGTTTTTCTCCTCTCGTTCCCCACAGTAGGTCTAACAAACCTCACCGCCCCCGCCCCAGCTCCTGTCGGCCCCCATCCTCGGGCTCCCAGGTCATGCCCCTCTCCCACCTCCTACCCTCCGCTCCTTGACTGCTTCTTGCCTGTGTGAACATGAATAATTCCACAGCACTTCCCATCTGTTATTGCCATAGAGACAGAAGCTCAGCAAAGATAATGATGTTCTGTGCAGAGCCAGTGGGGGGGAGAGCAGCATCTGCGAGTCTGGGGGTATAGATGTTCTAACTGCCAGAATATTCAGAGGCCTGCCTGGAAAGCCGAGGTGAAAGCCAGGACAGTCCTGAGACTAACTAAACACCTGGCCACCTTGCACCTGGCTCTGAATGTAGCCAGAAGAAACATCTAGAAAGCAAGATAACAGAAGTGTGTGTGTGTGTGTGTGTGTGTGTGTGTGTGTGTGTGTGTAAGCGTTTCTGAAACTTCAATTAATGCCAAGTATTTAGTAGTCCTCTTACCACCCATAAAAGTAATTACTTGCTAGCCAAAGGCCTAAGAAACAAAATTAATTGAACAACAGACTTTTTAGAAAAATCAAATACATTTTCCTTCTGTTCTTTTGCGCCCTCCAGGAATCTGTTTTTTTGAGGGAAGGCTCTTTTGTGTCTGTGAGAACACTTGAGAACCATAGCCACAGCCGTGTGGCTAGAACCAAGCTTTGGGGGCATTTTCAGCGTTATTCTCAATTACAAAATAAAATTCATGTTGCCCGTGAATTCCCAAGGTCTCAGCCTTAAGGTATGGCTTGGAGAGCAAGTAACCCTAAGCATGCCCGCCTGCTGAGCTTTGCTGCAGCTGGGTAGGCCCTTTCTAATCCACATCTCTGAAGACTGCTCAGGGTTTCCAGCATTGTCAGTGAAATGTGTAAATGTAAAATCAGGGCTGTGTACGCAGCCTCGTTGAGAGTGCTTGCTGGCATACGTGTCTTGGGTTGAACCGTAGTACTGCATAAACAAGTAATTCTAGTATTCAGGAGGTAGAGGCAAGAGGATCCAAAGGTCGAAGTCCTCCTCAGCTCTATAGTAAGAGGCTAGCCTGCACTACAAATAGACCGTATCTCAAAGAAAGATAATTTCTCTTAATTAAAGACACTGAAAGCAAATGGTGGTGGCTCAGTATTCCAGAAACAGATCTGAACCGACAAGAGACTCTACAAGCCTTAGGAAAAATCATGGGGGTTGGTGAGAGTTCATTTGTGTAGTGTCTGCTATACAAGCATGAGGCCTACATAAAATCCAGGCACAGGAGTGCTCATCTGTAACCCCAGCTGAGGAAAAACATATTGGCGGAGCTCAGCCACCACCTAACTGGATCTCTAAGCTCCAGGCTCAGTAAGAAATCCTGTCTCAAAAAGGAGGAGGGTCTGGAGAGGTGAGTGTCAGTTCCATCTTGTTCTTTCAAAGGGCCCACACAGTGGCTCACCATGGTCTGTAACTCCAGTTCCAGGGCATCAGATGTCCTCTTCTGACCTCCTGGAGCACCTAACACACGTGTGATATACATACATGCATGCAGGCCAAACTCTCCTAGAATGAAATAAGGTGGGAAATAATCGAGGAAGATGTCTTAGTCACTGTTCTTTGCTGTGAAGAGATAACACGACCACGGCAACTCTTATAAAGGAAAGTATTTGTGGGCTTGCTTATAATTTCCAGGGCTTAGTCCATTATCTTCACGGCAGGAAGGAAGCTTGGCATCAGGCATGGTGGACAGACACGGGGCTGGAGAAGTAGTTGAGAGCTTCATCCTGACCCACATGCGGAGTGATAGAGACCGGGCCTGGCTTGGGCTTTTAAAATAACAAAGCCCACCCCAGTGACACACTTCCTCTAACAAGATCTCACCTACTAATCCTTCTAATCATGTCAAACAGTCCGTGGTGACTAGGCATTCAAATATATGAGCCTATGAGGGCCATTCTTATTCAAACCGCCATAGAAGAAGACACCCATTGTCAATCCCCAGCCTCCACGTTGTGGGTATGTACGTGCACCTGCACAGAAATGAACACGTCCACACACAAAAGAAAAGCAGTACCATGAGGTAGAGAGCATTATGGTTACACTTAATTGGCAGTGTTTATCAGTGTTGAAAAAGTAAGTACTGGTCAGTAAATAACCATTGGGTGGATTACACTAACCTCCATGGCTGCCAGCTGGAGCTGAGCAAGACCACTGTGACAGCATGCCAGTGTTCTAAGAATTCCAGATGGTGGAGTGGGGCCTTGCCCAGTGTTTGGTTCTCTCCCATAGATAGTAAGCAGAAACAAATACAGAAAACCCAAAAGGGGTCTGGAACTAGATACTTAGAATCCCTCTGTTAGTAGTTGTACCTGTCAGGTAATAGTGGAAACCAAGAATCTAGAAACTACAACTGTAAAAGCAAACTCTATCCTGTTCTATGGCAAAAAAAAAAAAAAAAAAAAAAAATAGGGTTAAAGGGTGAGGTTCGGAACACTGAAGAAGGTAAGTAAGAGGCATACAGCTGGATAGGAGATAACCAAGTTGACCAGATAAGAGAAAGGACAGGACTCTGAGCCAGGGCTGGCAGGCTGGCTGGCTCCTGCCACGCCTGTCTGAAGCCCCCTGAGGAACACACACAGAACTGTCGTCCTTTCATATACTCTTGCTTCTAATGCAGCTAACTATACAGACTACGTTGTGAGAAGTATGGCTTGTAAACAAAAAGCTTCCACCTACTCCAGAAAAGACTTTGCCATCAGACAGACAGACAAGGAGCTGATGTGAGGGAACCAGTAATGTAAGTAAAAGGGAAACCAGCATAGTTGAACAAGCAACTAGCAGACCCCATCAACGTCGAAGAGTGGCAACACCTACAGTGTCAGACTAGCAATGCCTGTCAGAACTAATAGCCAGGAGTCAAAGTCCAGCAAGTCAAAGATGGACAAGGCAACTCAGAAATGGGCAGAAGAGGGACTCAAATTGTGACTGCTCCCTATCTGAGCATATAGGTGATCATCTCTCAGGCTGGGTCAGGAGCATAGGCTCTTCATTGGCTCAGCTTATGTTATGCTCAGAGCATTAACCAATCTGAGTGGAAATTTCCTTTGTCTAGTTTATGCCTTGAGGAGAAGGAAGGGAGGGAAGGAGGGAGGGCGGGAGGGAGGGAGGGAGGGAGGGAGAAGCACTCACCCTTAGACTGACATCTCAGTGGGTTTCCCTTGCATCCCCTCTAGAGCTAACCTAAACTTTCTTGGGTGACCTCTAGAGCTTTGCTTACTCTCCAGAACTCTGCTCTCTGTAATGTTTCTTCTTTAAGATTCTTTCTATAATAAAACTACTGTGTAAGCCTGGTGGTGGTAGTGCACACTGTTAATCCCAGCACTGGAGAGGCAGAGGCAGGCCCACTTCAATTTTGGGAGAGCTTTTCTCTTAATACTGTTTCCATTTCTATCAATACCTAGGTGTGTCACTGATCCACCTTTTTGTTCTTGGACACTAGATCCTGGAAGACTCAGTGAGAGCCCCTTTGGATTGAGATCCTCATCTATAGCATCGATAGATCGGCACACTTGACCTTGGATAAAAGGCCATGAAAAGCAATCATAAGTAAATTAAGACAAAGGGGAAGCATTTGCCCCGAAGCAGATGCTGGGAGAAGGGCTGTCCTCAAGTGTGAAGCAGAG